CGCGGGGGGGGGCGGGGGGGGGGGGGCGGCGCCGGCCGTCCTTCCTTCCTCCTCTTCCGAGTCTGTTGTGGCGGTGATGGATGTTCCAGCTGAAACTCTTCCCAACTCCGGCGCTCGACAGGTTGTCGGCGCGGAGCGCGGCTACGTCAGACGTCGGACGAAGTTTTTTTACGTCACGGACCTGGATATTTTTTGCGTGCGTTGAAATACTACTCCGTGTTGTTTTACGTTAAACAAGCGAAGCTATAGCGAGTCACGCGGCCGTGACGCCACCTGGTGTTAACGTTAACGTCGATGTTAGCGACCGCGCTAACGTTGTCGTTTAACGTTGTTGTGTTTTTTGGGGGGGGGGGGCGTTTAAAAACTTCCGCGGGAGTTTTCATCCCGACCAATCAGGACGCACTTTAATGACTCCCCATGCAGTTCCTCATCAGACCCCTAGGGGGCGCTAGCGTCTGCGTATGTGTGTGTTAATCCGTCACATCTGTGGGTCAGACCGGTGCTTGTGGGACGTGTCTTTTTTTTTCTTTTTTTTTTTGGAGAACTGGGTCACAAAGTGATTTTTTTCAAAGTGACCTGCAGGGGGCGGTAGTGTTTCCGACGTCACCGGCGTCTTTGTCTGGTGTCGACTGATGGATCGGAACCACACGCTTCTCTCTGTGTGCAGGTTGGGTGGGGTCATCGGGTACGGGGTGGGCGGGGTGCAGTTCCTGGTTTCACCACAAGGGGGCAGTATTACTCGACGAACGTTGTTTAAAAATGCTACGTGTCAGTGTGTGTTTCCGTATCTGTATCTGCTGCTGACCCCGGTGTGCGTCTCTCTGTGTGCGTCTGTCGCCCCCCTCAGGCCTCCTCCAGTATGGTCGCAACTGGTCGGCCATCGCCAAGATGGTGGGCTCCAAAACGGTGTCGCAGTGCAAGAACTTTTACTTCAACTACAAGAAGAGGCAGAAACTGGACGAGATCCTGCAGCAGNAAGAGGAGGAGGGAGAGAGCGTGCGAGTGAGCGAGCGAGCGAGCGAGCAAGGAACATGTGCTGCTTTGGAACACGTCGACCCGACACCAGCTCGAGTATCCGGCCAGCTGGGGACTAAGCCGCTCTCGTCTTGATCTGCTCTCGATCGGGAACGCCGCCGGTTCCCGACCCCCGGGGGGCTGCTCTGCTGCCGCCCGTTAGCCGCCGCTATCTTCCGGGCCAGGGGGGGGGGGTGAGAACCGGATCGCTTTTCCGCTGGCTTCAGGTGCCGATGGGACTTTCCCTGGGAGGAGCTACTGGGAATGCCGTTTCCTGATTGGGCGTGAGGCAACCACCTGCTCCGGTGTCGCCGCGTGTGATTGGACGGTTGTCGCATGTGTGTGTGTGTGTGGCTCCGCCGACCTGAGGCCCTGACTCGACTAGCGCCGCCTGGGATTTGCCGTTAAGTAGGTGCTTACCGTGAAATGGACTTCGTGTGCTTAGAGGTCGCGACC